TCCATTCATTCATTTACTATTGTTTTAAATTCCTTTGTCTATCTATCTATATACTTTTTCTTCTTTCTTCTATTTTTATTTTTACAATCCTATGATGTTTATTCAATCATCCATCTCTACTTCAATTATTATAGTCTTATTCGGCATCCATTTTTCCTTGTTCTCTTCCCTGCGGCCTACTTTCCCACCAAAACCTGACAGAGTCATCTTTCTCTAGGTTACACAACGTCATTCTTGCAATTTCCTTAATGTCTCCTCTTTGTCATTTCTCTAGTCATCTAGATTGAGAGATCCGGAAGCCAAAGAATATTTTAGGAAACTTCAATTTTTCTCCAAAGCATACGTAATCCCTGGAAGTTATCTTATTTGTTAACTTTTTTTAGTCGTTTTAGGTCTTTTATTGATAGAACTTACAAAACTATAGCAAACCTTAGCGGAAATGGCTTCAGATTTCCTTCAGGACTAGACGAATGCAGAGTTCAGAGATTTAGAATAAAATAAAGTCTTATATTTTTGCTATTTAATTAATTTTTGTGCGATAGAATCGAAAAAAATCTTTCTTTTGTCTAGGTTTTTGTAGTTTTCGCATCGGTAAACTCTAGGATTTAAATAATTTACCATTTCCCTTCTTTCTTTTTGAAAAGTTAAAATAATTTTGTCTATTTAGTATTTTAAAATTTTATCACTTTCTATTTCCTTCCTCCCTTTTGTTTAATATTTCTTACCTTATAGTAATGATGGTATTCTGTACTCTGCTGCGTTGGGCTTTTTAACTTTATACCGCCATCAATCTTTAGGAGTTGACACAAAAACTTTTGATCGACATTAGAATTAGCAGCAAAGTTCACAGAAGCGCACTGCTTGTTTCTCATACAGAAGACCAAGCACTCAAATGAGTCAAACACTTTGAGCCTCTCGATAACAGGTGCGTGTAAAACGCGAAACGGCTCCAAATTAAAATAAATAGAAGTTTTATCCGATCGTGCAAAAGTTACGAATACAAGTGAACAAAAACTACTAAGAAAGAAGAACCGAACGGAGAAGAATTCGTTTGATTTCATCTTACGAAATTAAAGTGTTCCAAATGGATTCTTTCAGAATTTCTCGGCCGGCGACAATTGAACGAAGAAAGTGGTACTAGAGGAAATCAATTAATTTGTCAAATCCAATGTAACGGCTTCTTTACATAGCGCCATGGAAACCAATCAAGTGTTATCACTTTAGATAAAAGAGCAAAGCTACCCCGTAATCGGTAAGTAAACACAGACAAGCTTTTGTATAGTTTTTGTAGATTGGTATTAGTTTGGCTATGTGTTAGTTAGACATAAAATAATAGTTGGACGAGAGCAAGTGGCAGATGTTTTTTTTTTTAAAAAAAACCTCTGAGGTAGAGGTAGGGCGTAGTACAAAATAACCTTTTACTTCCCCTATAGTATACTGGTTTGTGTGGGAGAGTTGCTTAACTTGTTGGTTCTTAGTTCTCTTGTGCGTCGAGGGTTTTCTCCGGGTTAATTTATGTGCGCAAGTGCGCATCTAAGTGCTAGATATCATCCCGCTTCAAACAGCAAAATGCAAATTCCTAATATTAGCCCAGGCCGAGGTTGAAGAAAAGCTGAATCGAGTTAGAATTGCTTTCAAGATGGTGCAGCAGGGAACTGTGAAGGGGAATATCCTTTTCTACGCTTTGCGTATCCACCGCGGGTCGCGGTAAAAAGCTGAAACTGGTGAAACGGCTGAAAGATCTAAAACAGATGAAAATCATCAAAATCCAAACATTGTATGAACTCAAACCGAAACGTATTAATCTATAAATATGTATATGAATATTTAAATTGAGTACAATTCAATTCAATTCAATTTATCTCAATGTTTCTACGGTGCATGACATGACCACAAAGGTCAATGTCAGGAATTATCTTTAACCTACATCTACACGAGCAAGTTTTTCTTGACAAGTTTTCTTTGACAAGGAAAACTTGCTCGTAAATGGAATAAACTGAACAATCTTTCCATGATAAGGAAAAGCTGGCATGCTAGATTTTCCTCGTGAAGGAAAAATTGTCAAGGCTCAAATTTGCTTGCGTAGATGGACAACAAAGAAAATGTGGCAAAGAATATTAATGAGTTTAGTTCTCAGTCTTTCCGCGCGCTAATGTCAAAATAGAAAATGGCGGCTAAAGCGGAAATAAGTTGGAGCAACAGAAAATGAACTAAGAGAAGGAATCCCCCCTATATAACCTTGTAGCCATCATGTGCACAGTTTGATGCTATTCTTAAACCATTTATTTTTCTGCACGCGCATTTACTGCGTGCGCTCTACGCTGTTTGCTTACGTTTTTGGGGTTTTTCCGTTATTTCGACTCGGCCCTGAATATGAATGTGCACGTCGGAAGCTTAGCAAATACGACAGGAAATTGAAGTAGTAATTTCTTCAACTTTCTGGAGTATTTTTACATTTATTTTCCAAAGCTTTCGACCTACATCGTCATCTTGAGGCAGATTTGAACATTTGAACATAAGAAAAGCACAAGAAAACGTTAGCAAACAGCCTAGAGCGCGCGCGTACTATGCGCGTGCAGAAAATCAAACGATCAAATAAATGATATCATTGTATGATATTTTTAGAATAGACTCTAAAAATAGCATCAAAGTGTTCACATGGTGGGGCACGGGGATTCCTTCTCTTAGTTCATATTCTCTTGGTTGGAGTGATAAACCTGATTTTTATTTTTGCTCCACGAGAGACTGGAACCAATTTTTTGTTAATACTCCGCTGATTAAAAGCATTGCAGGCACAGTCAAAACTTTATCATCTACACGAGCAAGAAACCTTGTCAAGGAATAAATTGTCAAAGCACTTGTTCGTCTACAAGAGCAATGAAAATTGTCAAGGAAACTCGTCAAGGAAAACTTGCTCGTGTAGATGCGGCTTTAATGTCTACCGAGCCCTTCACAAATACTACACAGATAGATTTGTGTTTTACTGTGAGCACTGCTTTTTCATTTCAAACTGAATGTTTATTCGTCTTCTTGAATAATATATATGGCAAGGGTTTTTTTTGAAAATACTCTTGGTTTTATTTACCTTCGCCCGTAAGTAAAGAAGTCAAACGAGATTATCTGCTCGCGATAGCCCAACTAGCTACCGGCCAATCAGAGTTCGTGTAACAACTGAACCGGACGAAGGCCAATCAGAAACCGCTTCTTATTTCGGGTGACGGGGAACAAGGATTCTGGCGCTGTTTTGCAGACGGTTATTTCGAGGAAATTATACCGGATGAACAGAGGCTACCCCAGCAAACATACACTTTACGATTTCCGCAGCTCTATTTCCGGTTTTGATTGATAGATATTATGTAAGATTAAGGGCAAGAGGCCACGCTCATTACGAATGCGTCTGGTTCTACGACAGTTACATCGACAGTTAGTCAATAGTTGTCGAAGGTGATCAAAGCAGCACTACTGTATCTTACCGCCATGGGCAAAAAGGCACTTTATTCGCAGCTTTTGTGGTTTTTGATAACGTTGTTGCACTCTGGTAAGTCTCTTTATTCCTTTTTAGTGTCTAAAAGGATTGTAGTCTCGAAAAAAATTATTCCGTATTTGGTGTTCAACTAGAACAAAGGATTTATTGTTACATTGGACGGTCGTGGAAAACAAAATGCCCAAAAGCTAAAACTAACAATAAAGCCTGGATTACAAAAGCATGACTGTCCAAAATGATGACACTTGATATGGGTTATGGACTTCGCTATCAGCAGTACAGTAATATGGTTCAATTAATCAAGATTTTGCCAATCTCTCTTGCTTTGTAGAACGAACTTTACATTTAGTTGCAGTTAATGTCAAAAGTTACTATGTTTGTACAACGCAGGCTGTTCAATAGACTCGTAGATAGATTCGTCAGACTCATTGTGGCAAAGTGAAACTGCTAGTAAAATGAACCTCGTATTTGCCCCTAAAAAAGTAGTAACCTTTCATTTCCTGGAAAGAAAGGCGTAGAAGAAAAAAACAACAACTTTGCGTCAAAAAAGGAAGTTAAAATTTGCTAATTAGATGCTGGTAGTTTATAAGGGGGAAAAATCAAGGAATAATAATAAAAAAAAAAAAAACAAACCCCTGAAAATCGCATATTGTAAGGCTTACAAAACTGACCAAAGGAGACATCTTAATATCCCCCTGAAACAGTATACGAAATATGCTCTGAAACTCTAGTACCGAAGAGCTAGTGTCAGAGTTCAGATAAAAGTGCTTTAGTAGAGACGTAATATTATTAGTAGCTTGCATTCATCGTGTTTCTAGTTTCTATTTCTAGGCCCATAAAACTGGTATTCCAGGTTCCATTTTTGGGCCCATAATGTGGTATTCCACACCACAGGGAAATTCGCGAAGCATTTTGGTAGTGGTGGTAAAATGTGGCCATCATGCAAACGTCCTATTTTACAAGGCCAAAGATATACTCTGATATTACTATGATATAGTGTCCCTGAAAATATAGTTTGCGACTTAAGAACTGAAGCGTTGAAATTCGAATAATGCTGTTATTCTAGACAAAATAACTATCAGCCGTTGATTTCATCGTGCCAGTGTCAAGTCCCAAAGAGGGCTTTTACTTTTACCTGTTTAAACTAGCTTTTGAATTATAATTTATATATATTTTACAGCGCTTAGAGCCGACTTGTATAGGCGCTATATAAATCATATTATATTATTATTATTATTACTGACAATTTTTATCATGTTCTATTTTTTTGAATAGCCATTCTCTACCTTGCGACTGAATATCCCCTGATGGATATGCGTTTTACCCCCAATAAGTGAAATATCGGGAAATCTGAATAATAACCGTTTCAAGATCTGTTTTCAAAGGGCATTAGATAACAGTTTGCAAAACTAGACTGACTCTGCATGCAATGAAACCTGAGAGGATTGAAGTAAGAGTTCAAACGGTATGAAAGGGAATTTGCCCAAGCAAGTATTAGTCCAGTTTTGAATTCTTTGCATTACAGGGTTAGCCTCGATTTCGTATGGAATAATTTTGAATATTTATGTGTTCCAATTTTAAGGTGTTTGTAATATTTATTATTATTTCTTCATGCAGCTATTATTATAAAATAAACTCAACTTTATGATAATTTAAAAGTTGTTTTGCGATCAATAGGCTCTGCCTCCGTGATAGTACGTCTTAATGGTACCAACTCCTCACAATCCGAGGGTCGGGTCGAGGTGCAATACCGCGGAGTTTGGGGTACTATCTGTGACGACTACTGGTCTTTAGACAACGCTCACGTGGTATGTAGGATGCTTGGTTTTGCAAGAGCATATATAACCAAGAGATTTGGACCAGGAACCGGGCAGATTTGGCTGGATGACGTATCGTGTAAAGGAACCGAGACGTCTATTGACAAATGCCGTCATGGTGGATGGGGACACCACAACTGCGATCACAGTGAAGACATTGGTGTTGTGTGCACTAACGGTGAGTTAAACAGCTTGTAAATGGGTTGCCTAAAGAGGTGGGAGACAATGATAGCTGGGAACACCGGAGATTTGAATTTGAAAAGAAAAACAAACTTTATGACCGCCCTTGCCCTTTCAGAAGGTTATACTGTCACATGGARGTACTGTCACATGTCTCGGCATTAAAATAGTCATTTGACTGAATCTTATATTGGTTATAGTAAGAAATGACTACCAAAAGTTTCAGTCATTTTGAGCTAATTCTCACAGAGATATTATCTATTTGACGATTTGCCTTTTTTCAAGGATCCTGGGTTGACGTCATTACGTTATTTCTATATTGAATATCTCAAAGACAAAAAGCAATGAAAGAACCATCTATGATGTTTACCCCACAAGAATTAACACGTAAAACATATCTCAACAAGTAAGTAATCTTCTGTATGTCATTTCGTAGGCACCCCTAACATAGCTGTGCGAATGGCTAATAGCAGTCTTCCACATGCTGCTCGAATAGAAATACGTTATCATGGAGTATGGAAATCGTTATGTGATGGCTACTGGTCTTTACAAGATTCTCATGTCGTGTGTAGAATGTTCAGTTACACCGATGGTGCTGCTTTTGCTATTCAAGGATACCAGAGTACAACTGGTGATGCATGGGATACACAGATCAGCTGCAGCGGAACCGAAACGTCTATTGACAAGTGTAAAATTCGACACTGGGGTGAGAGTGATTGTTCAAGTGACTACAGAGCTGGCGTTGTCTGCCTTAGTAAAGGTAAAGATAAAAAAAAACACTTTTAGGTCTGATAACTGAAAAAGAAAGCTAGGAAGAAAGTAGGAAGAAAGAGAGGAAGAAAGTAAGTAAGAGAAGTTAAAAGAGGTATTAACATTCACGCCTGCCAACCCACTCTCAACCGAGAAGGGGGACGCCACAAATTCCATGGGGAATACTCCAAACTTATTTTTACTTACTTGAATAGCATCATTTTCATACTTAAAGCTGTCTGGCGTACTTCATAAGTCAGTTCTCGCAAACGAAATAGATACGTTTAAGAACACTGCTGATCAAACAAAGTAAAGGACTTCAAGAAGACAATAACGTCAACGAGCTGTCAACGCGATAAAATAAACTTATTTAAAGTGTTGAAAAACTAAGAAAGACAGATTGTATGCTTGAGGCAGATTGTCAAATTCTCATGGCCGAAAATAGGTTTTAGAATTCAATATTTATTATTTTTAGGACAAGTTCCTAATGTAGCTGTACGTCTTGTGAATGGAAGCACTCCAAATCAAGGCCGGCTAGAGGTTCGATATTATGGAGTCTGGGGCACAGTATGCGATGATTACTGGGGAATAAGTAATGCTCACGTGGTCTGTCACATGCTGAATTACAGCAAAGCTTTGACAACAGGCACAGCAAGTAAACCATGGAGTGGTCCTATATTACTGGACGATGTAATGTGTAATGGGTTTGAAGATTCGCTTGAGAACTGCCAGAAACGAGGTTGGGGTCAACACGACTGTTACCATGGTGAAGATGTTGAAGTCACATGCGAATACGGGCCAAGAGGTAAGCATATCAGTCAGCAAGTGAATCTATCATCCTTTAGTTTTATACCTCCACGGCACTCCAAGGATCCACTTTATTCTCAGATCTTCACTGAAATGGTCACCAACTGCATTGGATGTAGCACTACTACAGTTTTGAATGTCATTATATTCTTCGATTGCACGTTACAGCATCGCGGCCTCTCGGGGGAGCGTTGGTGCTCGGCATTTAACAAAAGATTTCTTATTAGCACCCATTGTTAAGGGCACCAATGGCCGCCGTGCTTTTGTCTTTTGACTCTCTTGGGAATGCTTGCAACCCATCAATATCTAAAAGTTTGTTTTAATGAGCAAAAGACTGTGCACATACGATAACTACTTGTAAGTTACTTCCTAAAGGTCTAGTATAGTAAAGAATGTGCGGCCATGCCAAATCTTACACAAGTAGTAAATAAACAGATGAGTCTAAGGACGTACTTTATACTTTTACGTACTTTATACTTTTACTGTTTTTCCCCAGTTTATCCAAATATCAGTGTTCGACTGGTTAACAGCAGTTTTCCCCACGCTGGTCAGATAGAAATGCGTTATTTTGGCGTATGGAAGCCTTTTTGTGATGGAAGTTGGACTAAAAAAGATGCTAATGTCGCATGTAGAATGCTAGGATACAGTCAAGGTGCTGCGCTTCCTGTTCGAGGATACCAGAGTACAACTGGTGACGCATGGGAAACACGGATCACCTGCCGTGGCACCGAGACGTCTATTGAAAAGTGTAGCAATATATATTGGAAACAGAGTAACTGTCACGATAACAACAGAGCTGGTGTAGTTTGCCTCACTTCAGGTATGCCTGTCAACCCATGCAGGATGGGCTCCTAGTTTATCACGGTGGTTTCTATTATAACCACCACACGTTCTAGCCTTTCTTGTATAATGATAATCATTTCCATTTACCAGGCCAAGATTCAAACGTAGCTGTTCGCTTGGTGGACGGAAACAAACCGAATCAAGGCCGAGTAGAGGTTCGATATTATGGAGTCTGGGGCACAGTTTGCGATGATTACTGGGGCATAAATAATGCCCACGTGGTCTGTCGTATGTTAAACTACAGCAAAGCATTATGGACAGGAGGTGCTAAGGTCAAAGGGAGTGGTCCTATATTACTGGACAATGTATATTGTAGCGGATATGAAAATTCTCTCGAGAGCTGCTGGAATGTAGGTTGGGGTGAACACAACTGTGGCCATTATGAAGATGTAGGTGTTACTTGTGCAAACGAAACAAAAGGTAAGAAATAACTTTGGATTATGAGTAATATTATTGAAATGTCGCATTACCAACGCCAAAGACTACCTTTTAGCTTTGATAAAAATATGCATCACTAAGGGAATACGATTCGTATGCGTTACTAACCCAAATTTTAAAAGTGTAAACTTATTTCGATCATAGGGAAGATTGTGTTACTGTAATATTACAATCATATATTTATACTCTAGTGCAATATCACGAAAAAGGATTACGAATGACGATTAACGAAAAACTTAGCATATCTTCTATAAATGACTTTGTTTAGCAAAAAAAAAAAAAAAAAAAAAAAAAAAAAAAAAAAAAAAAAAAAAATTTTAAAAAAATTTTTTTTTTAAAAAAAAAAAAAAAAAAAAAAAAATTGTTCCGATACTTACTCGATAAGTATTACAGTGTTTATAATAAATGACGAAGCCTACCTTCGTAGTAGTAGTTGTATATCTGACTTTTGTACGAAGAATAATTGAGATAAAGAAAAAAAGTTGAAGCTTAACGTAATTTAACCATTAAAAACATCAACCCCTGTTATTTATTTAGCCCAAAATCCAGACGTCGCTGTTCGTCTGATGAATGGAAGCACCCGTAATGAAGGCCGAGTCGAGGTTCGATATTATGGACTATGGGGTACAGTCTGTGATGATCGTTGGGGACTAGCAGATGCTCACGTGGTCTGTCGTATGCTGAACTACAGCAAAGCATCATGGGCAGGAACAGCTAAGATCATCGGTAGTGGTCCTATTGTACTAGACGAAGTACAGTGTCGAGGAAATGAGAAGTCAATAGAATATTGCCCCAAAGATAAATGGGGATGGCACAACTGCCTTCATTCTGAAGATGCAGGAGTCAAGTGTGAAATGTTATCAAAAGGTTTGCACCAAAATCATTCAAGTTTCGAAACTATTCAATAGACAAATTTAAAGATAAGCTCTATGATATATTAATGGCTAGTTTGCACAGTTACTCCTAATCACTCTAAAACTGATCTAGAAGATTAATTTTCTCGGAGAAAGACTTTAAACCGTAGGCCCTGTCTCCCAACCCTTCCTAACCTGCAGTAAAATGGAGGACATAAAAGAACCTGTTGAATCATTCGTGTAAGAGTAGGGGATTGTCTCCCGGTTCAACAGCCTAACCTAAATTGGAGGCATAGCACTAACGTAATAATTATTCACTCATGATTGGCATACTAGTTTATTCTAATTTGAGTTGTAGTAATACAAGATTTTTGACGGCTGCCAATAGTGCCTTAATATGAAGCCCGTAAAGTCCTACACTGGTCATAATTGTAAAGCGCATTGAGACCATGTAAAAATGCGCTATACAAGAACCTCCCATTAATTCCGAATTAACTCCGTCAGTTTTACAACTGTTTAGTAGCAAAATTAAGTAACTAATATTTTTTTAGAGGAAATAAAAGTTACTGCTCGTCTTATTGGGGCCGACCATAATCACATAGGAATCGTAGAAGTAAACTACAACGGGACCTGGAGACCAGTCTGTGATGATACCTGGGATATATTAGATGCACACGTGGTCTGTAGAATGCTTGGTTACAAAGCTGCGCTTCTGGGAATTAAAGGATATCGCGTACGGAAGGAAACTGGACCATGGATGGGAAATGTGGAATGCAGTGGCAACGAAAAACTGATCAGCGAATGTTATCATCGCGGATGGAACAACACCTGGTGCCCAGGGAAACTCTATGCTGGTGTGATGTGTAACATTACCAATGGTAAGCATCTCATTCTGTTTTGAGTGAATTTACTGTTTCATTTGCCAGCTTAACAGATGTACACAAACGCCGATATTATCTTACCCTACAGAGCTCCCTCAAGCACAAGTTCGTTTGGAAGAAGGCAATTCACCCAACTCTGGTCGTGTTGCTATTCGGTATGGAAACTTATGGGGTACCATATGTAGAGACGAAATCGATATCAACGCTGCTAGAGTGATGTGCCGTATGCTCGGCTACCCAGGATTACATTATAAATATAACTTTAAACCTGGTAGTGGTGCTATTTGGCTGATGAGCCTGGAGTGTGATGGAACAGAAAAATCTATAACTGACTGTCGTCTTGGTTGGGGAAATGCAACCACATGCAGTCATGACCGTGATGTAGCCATCATGTGTAAAAAAGGTAGTCTTGTCTATAATGTTCAGGTCAACTAACACACCTTCCCCCACCTGCACAAAGAGCTAATATGGTCACGTTAGATTGCTGTACATAAGTCAAGAATTACAGGAGTTGTAAGACAGATATTCTGCACTTCTCAGAATCACCCCATTAAACGATTAGCAGTAGTACAGGATACTCGGCTTTTCGAACCTAAGTTGAATGATTATTAGAAGTTCTTAATTGGAAAATACTTTAAAATAAATTTGCTTATTATGAGTTTCATGTGATTTGAGATTGTTCGATGCAATCTGATGTGGACTTTGTATCTATAGGCAATTTAATAACTTTTGGTGCCCCACCCCAACGTTTCGCTTTTTTGAGATCGCCCTCAGTCCCGTTGGACAATGCTACATTAAAGAAGAAAAAAAAACAACAAACAAACAAAACAACAACAACAACAACAACAACAAAACGGAAAACCACTCACAAACGGCTGCTACGTAGGCTAAGCCATAAGCCGATTTCAAACCATGGTTCAAAAGGTTTAGCAGATCAACGTTTGTTAGATCATTGAATATTTGAGACCCCCCTCTGTAACAGGCCAAAATAAGATTTCTCGATAATTATTTCATTTAGATCTTTCAACATAACATAATTTACCCTTTGATTCTATGTTACCTTAACATCTTCAGCCGAAGCTCCTAGATTCAAGATTAATGGAACCAATGGCATCACAGATTCAACAGTGATCATCTTGTTTAAAAGAACACAGCAATCGATTGGAACACAAATGAAACGGTAAAACTGTGAAACGGTAGAACGGTAAAACCATTATTACTTACTAATTAAGAGATAGTCAATGGTTAAGCGTGGTATATCCAGTTCTGCTTGTAAAGTGGCCCTTACCCTGGAGAATCAGGGAAATACGCGTGGTCTGAAATGACAAAAACGTCAAGGTGAAAATATCTGCTGCAAAAAGTGTGTTCTAAAGCGCTGCTTGGGATCATAAATCCAACCACGTTTCACGACACTGATCAGTGCTCAACCTATTATTGAGTATTTTTTTGTTTTATCCTCAGTGTTTATCAAGTTGCTGTAGAAAAAAGAAACTTAGAGAAAAACCTTCAGTCCGATGGTCAGACAGAACCGTCCGCGTTTATTGATGACGTAAACGTAACCATGAAGACTAGCAAAGTGAATAATAGTTACATCGCAGCGGAAATACTTGGTAGTAGCTCAAGCCTAAAGATTGGTGACGGTCAGTATTACCGTAATTACTACAACGCACCGTTAGAACCCGGATGTCAATATAGAGTCTACGTAAGAGCTGTGACCAAGACGGTAGAAAAGGTACTACAGACGTACGGTTCTAGACGAATTACTTCGGGACAAAGCATTCTTTTCACGCGAAAACTATTTCCCCTCCACCCTCCCATCACGGTTAATGTTCTTCCAAAACTTCGAGACAAAGCATTCTTTTCAAGGGTAAACTATTTTTCCTCAACCCTTCCACCACGGTTAATGTTCTTCCAAAACTGGAACCAAATAATGGAACTGAGACCTTGGAAAATCAAATCTTGATCATGAGTTGGTAGAAGAGGCCGGTAATAGGAAAAAAAACAAACATTCTTTTTGGTCCCAGTTTGTGAATCTGTAGACCGAATATGTATTTGTCGCATGAAATGTGTCCAGGATGGAATCTAACTCGAATACAATATTTAGTACCTCTATTTGATAACATTTACAGGTTATAAATATGTAGATTAACAAAAAATTAAGTACAAGCTACCTATAATAACCTAATAGTTAGTCAAGACGGGCAACTGGCATATTTACAATAATTATATGATGTTTAATAGTTGAGAGAGGTAATAAATAAATAATAAAAAAACAACAAAAAACAAAAAAAACAAAAAAACAAACAAAACAAAAAAACAAAACAAAACAAAACAAAAACAAAAAAACAAAAAAACAAAACAAAAACAAAAAAACAAAAAAACAAAACAAAAACAAAAAAACAAACAAAAACACTAACACTACACTACACTACAGTCACATAAATTGATTGCTAACACACCTTTTCTGACTTTTCTTTCTACTTTTATAGAAACCGATTTATAGCGACACAACTTTTGTGGCTTTTGTAACCAAGCGGCAAGCTATCGCTAACAAAGGTAACGTAAGTGAAATTATGAAATGATCAGGGATTGATAAGAGAGATATGATATAATTCAGCTGTTGGACGGTTCTCAGGCGGGAACTAATAAGAAAATTCTAGGAATCTGTTCCCATCATGTTTTTAGAGTGAACGTTTTGATATTGAACAAATACAGTACAAGTTCTGTAATCTTGCAAGGTAGCTCAAATTTTACAATGTGTTTAACAAGCAGTTAAAACTTTATTTTGAAGACTCAGTGGAGTTGAATCAGAAGCAAATTTAACCAATTTGCTCCTGTTTTCCGTAGTATGTGCTCTTATTTACCTCATCTAGCCTCGTGAGTTCACAGAATATTTTGACTGCTGGAGGACGAAAAAAGTGGTAAATAAAAGGACATACCAAGGGAAACTGGAGGAAATGGTTTTTTTTTTAACCTACAAAAAATTAAAAACATTAATACAAAAACAAGGGTAAAATTTGAAAGAAAAACGGCGTTTCAAGAGCGCACGTGAGTTACTTTCGTAATTTATCGGCATGTCCTCCTGTTTCCCCTGGCACTAGACCAATCACAAAGCGAGAAAATTCACAATAGTGGTAAAAAAATTGATGAAAAGACGTAAAACACAAAATAAACTATTACCTCTTTTACCAAACAGCCACGTCTGGGATGCTAGCGCGACGTAACAGCCTTGAAGCTGCTGTGATTGTTTTATCAATCTTCATATGCATTCTTATTCTTATCGGTATTGGGTATTATGGTTGGTGTTACCTGAGAAGAAAAAGAGCTTTTCAGGAAAAAAGCAAAACTGAAATGTCAGGTAAACTTTAAACTGTAAATTTTTGTGCGTGTCATAAACTGTGGCTATTGTCAAGCACCAACAAAACAAGGAGGGATTGTTAAGAAAAGCAGAAAAAAAGGAAGAAAAGAAAAGAAAAGTGAAGGAATGAAGGTAGAGGGAGGAAAGAAGTGCAAATGAACCCTTTGTTAATACTTTCAGTACTGATTCTACATGAAGTAAATAGTTGAATGGTAAAATATTTCTTGATTTGAGTAGTGCGTTTCTAAGTTATGAAGGTTTAGACTTCCAATATGGTAATAAGCGTGACGTCATTAAATAATTTAATTAAATATACAAAATTGAACTGGTTCATAGATACAGTATTTAAAAAGCATCATTATTATATTTTATTCATGGTTTATATGAAAGCTATTTAGAATTTTTATTTTCAAAATGGCCAGCATTTAGTATTGCTAGTTACACAAAAACACTCAAATACCTTACCTGACGTCATCATCATTAACATATTGGAAGTATAAACCTTCATAACTTAGAGACGCATCACTCAAATCGAGAAATATTTTACCATTCAACTATTTACTTTATGCAGAACCAGTACTGAATGTATTGTCAAATGGTTCATTTGCACTTTATTAACTAAATATCTCCGTAATGAAGCAAGGTAGAAATCTTTTTGTGAAATAGCAATGGAATTTTCGTTAAGTGGGGCATTTTGACAAGTTCCCGTTTTGCTACAACTGGAACAGAATGAAACTAATAAGTTGTAAGATTTACAAACAGTTAATTCAAGGAAAATTAACCGGGAATGAATCTTCCACAACACACCATCAGCGTCTGTTTCCCCCACCAGGCCAGAGTCAAGGTAACAAGCTTCCCGAAACAGACAACGAGCCGTCCACACCACATTATCAGCCCTTGTCTTACCCTTCAGTACAAGACAACACAATGGATGAAAAGCAGAAACCAGCCAAAAAATTATTGAAGGTGGTGTACAGGAAAAAAGAACCAGGTCAGAATGAAAACTTAAAAAGATAAGAATGAAAGAAGAAAAAAAATATTAAAATGAAGTGATCGAAGGGGGGAAGTTAAATAGAAAAAAATTAACAAGAGGGAAAGAAAGGTAGAGAAAAGGGAAAAGAAAGAAGGAAAAAAAGAAAAGAAAAAAAAGGAAAAATGAAAAAGCAATCGAATCATTATGCCGTAATTGAATGAGATCAAGGAAGATATAAAGAAAAGGATAGGAAAAGAAAGAAAGAAAGAAAGAAAGGAATGAGGTAAAAGAAAGAAAGAATTGAGGTAAAACAAAGGAAGGAAAGGAAAGAAAGAGCCATTATTACTTCCACTCTGATATTTAAAGTGGCATTAATATTGTTATTTGACTTAATCAGAGACATCTAGTGCAAGCATTGTACCTGAACGGCATGAACCATCAAAATCACAGTCACCGTACTTCCCATCAGACTTCAGTGGTATCGAAAACCAAAGTTTCAGCCTATCAGATATCACACTGCAGGTGATACGATGATAGACGAATGTTGAGATTACTTGAGATTGCAACAATGTTCATCATCATCATCACCATTACCACCACCATCACCATCACCCCTATTCACACCATCACCACCTGCATGTTATCGTCACCATCAAACTGAAGATAACATCTACATTATCATCATCATAACCATAAACATGGCCATAACCTGGCCATGATCCCTGCTATTCACGCCATCAACACATGCAATAATATTTTCCCCTCCACCACCAAAGATACCTCTGTCATCAACATCATAACCATAATCATGTCCATCAACATCAGCAATAGCCGTTAGTATTCCCAACATTATCAAATATATCATTGTCAACATCATCATAACCATAATCATGGCCATCAACTTCCCATCATCATATACATCACTACACACCTGCGTTAGTATCCCCATCACCATCAAGATATAATCATCATCGTAGTCATAAACATGGTCATCTTCGTCAATCTTCACTGTCATCACAACCACCACCTTCCTCATGCTTATGCTATGATAATGGCCATCAACATCCCATCATCACTATTGACACCATCAACACCGGCAATAGCCGTTAGTGTCCCCTCCATTAATCAAATATATCATTGTCATCATCATCATCATAACCATAATCATGGCCATCAACTTCCCATCATCACTATTGACACTATCACACCTGCGTTAGTATCCCCACCACCATCAAGATATCATCATCGTAGTCATAAACATGGTCATCTTCGTCAATCTTCACTGTCATCACAACCACCACCTTCCTCATACTTATCATCATCATCATTGCCAGCCGACTTTTCCATCATCATTATCATCATCTTCATTATCATAGTTTATTTTCTAATCTACTTTTTATTCCGATAGGAATTAAGTCCCAGCCAAGCAGAGCAAGAATCCTAGTCATGAATCCTTACCATGACTCTGGGTCAAATCAGATAACGCAAGCAAATCTCTACAATAAACACAATGTGAATCTTGTAGATGGCCCTTAGGTCATTAGACAATGGATATTCTTGTTCATTTAAACTGTTATTCAAAAATTAACAACATGACACGATGCATGACGAAATTTTATTTTCGGTTTATTGTCACACATATCCTGATCAGATATTTCCTAAGAAACTTGTAAGAGAGTTTGAAAATCGGTTCGTCAACGCGAAACAAATGCTTAGAATGAAAGTTATGTACTTCATTAAACTTTTTGAGGGATTTTGGGGGCAATTTGGGGTGTTTAAAGGTTGTCTTTACATGAATGAAACAATTTAGTTTGTATGCTATTTCACTGATTTATGTTTTGCACTCTACTGTTGTCACTCTAGATTACAAAAATTGTATAAAGAATCGCAAGACATTTCTGGTATTCATGATAAGTCAATATTATAAAACTGATTTATTCTTTGTTAATTTCACCAGTAGAAAAAAAGAACAGATAGAATAAGAGGAGACATGTAGGTATCTAAAGTAGTAGAGAGGAAGGGTTATGTGGGGTTGTGGTTGTATCGTTGCACTAGATGATAAATAAAAAAGGAAGCAAATCATTCCGGATCCGTTCAAAACCTTGCAACAGAACTTGTTTCCACAGAATCCTATGATGTTGTCACTACGCGATGACCCAAAAAGATCTTGAACACTGGCGGCATTGTTTCGGCAATTGCGACAGTCATTGCATAATACTGTTTCAAGGAATGGTAAGTTTACATTGATAATAGTCCATTAATCACAGCATTCCAGAGTCGTAAATCGTATATGATTTGATTTGTTTTCTTAAATCGTCTGGTGTCTTCAAAGTTGTCTTCCCTGTGGATGAGTTGACTTTACTGGGGTTGGGGCTTGTGAAATCCAAAGTGTGAACCGGGCGTACATAAGCATAACCATAAGAATTCCAATAGTACTATGTTTCTTATGCTTATGTTTATGCTTATGTTGAAGTGTGAACCAGAGGCGAAAGTTTGAGGGAAAACTATTTTCTGACCCGAAATGCAGTGAGCCGCTTCTACAGCCACTGCATTTTAAATAGACGTTTCGGTCTGTTTGGCCTTCTCCAGTATATCATCTAAAACACTTGAAATTTGTGCAAAATTTTGCAATTTCTTACGCTTTTCACGAATATATGGTGTGCATTTTATTAGGCAGTGCAATAAACTTCAGATCGAACGATTAACCCGCATCATTGACTTCTACACATACTCGCCTTCGCTTTAGTCGCATGCATGGGCTTGCCCAAAGTGCAAACAATGTTTTTTTTACTCCCACTACGAAGATCGTGCTTCTAGAATTTTCTTTTTAAATAAGTGTTTCCCCTTTATTCATTGCCTAATTGGTGCTAGTTAATTACTGAACAAAAGAAAATGTGTAGGGGATTCCCGGGTTGGTAGTATATGGCGCTTTCAGGCAAACTTATTTACTGTATTCATATTCATATTCAAGGTCGATGTTGAGCCCACTGATCATTTCTCAAAACATGGAATTTAAAGCAAATCGCGTCTTATTTGTCTGGTTGCTCTTGGCTTCTTCCGTAGAACCTGGTAAGGTTAATTTTTTTTAGTAAGATAGTCTTGTTGACATGTGTTGCTGACTCTAAAACGCTGCGTGTATTTCCAGCCTTTGAGGGTTTTCTTTGCCAAATTTGTCAGTTAAAAGTTGGATAAAGGTTTGTTAGGCTGCGTAAGGATGCGACTGAGTTGGTGTTATAGACTCGAGTAAAATCGTTCCCTGATCTACTTTCCTTTGCATTTCCTTGAAGAAAAATCTAAGCAAAAGTAATCTATTTATGATTGTCTGTTTTGGAATACAGAAAAAGCTATTGGGTTTAAAATGACACTTTATCGCACTTCATTTGATAGGTTTTCAAAAATGCATCACCTTGGTCTGTCAAACTCAAAATAGTGTCCAAGTAACTAAGCCGGTATCTTTGAATACATATCAGTGGTATTTTTATGGAGTGTCATTGTGAGAATCATTGCCACTTTCTTTCATCTCTACGCCTAGAACAAGAAATCATTGCATTTGTTAGTATTCGGTAACAACACACCTTCCTTGAAGCTTTCTATCAACATCTCGTTAAAGACAACTCAGGTAAAACTATAATCCTATATGCAGAAAAAACGAGCATTTCAAAAGATACAATTCAGTGTGGACGAGATCACGAGCGAGTTAAATCGCTAAATTCCCTCATAGTCAGTCGCAATTATGTTGGAGTCACCTTAACTAATATCGTTATAATCAGTCTACGAAGATGCCGTTAATTTACCTTCGGATTTGTTCCTTATAGCGTAGGAGTTTCGATTCTTAAGGCAATACCACACAACACCAACAATGATGACTATAACCATRAAGACGATCACCAGGGACAAGGCTATCACTACTGCGTTATTAGTACATTCAACACGATTTCCTGTATCTGTATAAATTAAAGCTTTGTATTATCATAGGAATATATAACTAGCGAAATACAAAGTGCAATATTTTGTACTGCAATGGAGCCGGCAGTAGTCATGTAATATATTACTTATGTTTTTGAAGTCTTATTTACTCAATTGCAAAATTATTGCGGATTCAAAAACATAGAACACCGAACCTGTGACCCAAATGGTACATGGGAAGTACTTTGAACAGATGCATCTAGGGATACATCTCGTGGGATGATTATCAAAGATTGTTGCACTTTCAGAATACATGAAAGTTTTAATACATGTTACATATCTTTGGGTGCAACCACATAACTCAAAATTCCTTGAGATAAAAACRATAACGAAGAAGCAGTCATGTTGGTTGATCTAACAAGAGGAGGTAATTAGGAATGCTTTGCTAATGTCAACCAACATGGCGGCTATGTCGTCACATGAACCTCAAGAATCAACTTTGTATCTCAAACATCAGAACGCTTTTCGGCCTCAGCTTCTATGTTCTATGTTTTGAACTCGACAATGATCTTGCATTCGAGCGTATAAGCGTGGTGGGTGTATTTTCAGTACGAGACAAAATTAGCTCAGATAGCTACCGTGATATCTTTCATTTTTTTCACACACAGACAAAGCAGTTCCATAATTACTGACCGTGTGTCTCACCTTTGTAATACTTTATCTTGAATTCGTCTCCCGGTTTTGTTGTAAAAGCCACAAAAGCAGACTTGCCGTAGATTCTTTTCTAAAGAACAAGAAAATCGTGAGTAAAAGAGTGATAAGAACAAAAATATCTTCGGATTGTGATTGTGTTTCCGACACCGGCACTAGTGTCAACCAGTCCTATCACGTGATTACTCTCAATGTCCATTTTAAAAGAAAACTGTTGGAAGCAAATTATTCATTATTAATCGCCATTTCTGTGGTGTTTTTTTTTTTTTTTGGTAGGTTTTTTGAGATCGTAGTTTCTACTCACCCCATCCATTGCCATGGTAACGATCCTTACATGTACTCTATACATCGATCCGGGTTCTAACGGTGCATTGTAGTAACCATGGTAATACTGACCGTCACCAATCGTGAGGTTCGTGATAGATCTTAGAATCTCTGCTGAAATGTAACTATCGTTACCCATATGTGTTGCCATAGTAACGTTGACTTCATTGTAGACAAAGGGTGGTGGTTGTTCATAGGATTTCGAGCGTTGTTCGTTGCCTCTCTTTTCCACTGCCACTTGATACACACTAAAGTAATAGAAATGGTGAACTTACTAAAGTAATAGCCCTAAAACAGGACATGATCAAAACAATGCTATCGTATACGGACCCGATTTTACTGCCCGATTTATATAATTTAATATTCAATATGATTTGATTTTTTAAAAGTAGAAAACACAGCGAATTAGTTTCTCCCACTCTCGCACAATCCCTTAGAATGTCTGATACTTAACGTCTGCAACGATTATTTCTAAAGGATACTTTCAAACTTAGAGCACATTCAATGCTGCGATATGACTTTTAGTTTTGAAGATATTTAAACGAAATACAGGACTGTAAATTCAAAATTTGGTACCGATTTTTCCAAGCCCAGCCTGCTGTCTAAATCTGGCAAAGTTGTTTTGAAACCTTTGCAAATGTCTTACATCATGACAGAAGGTGTCGTAATAGTCTTGGCAAAAGAAGTACCTTTTCAAGCGTGCTCCAATCTGTTGTGAATCGTTGAACAAGATTAAAACTGTTGATTCTGTGTTGACGGTGGTTCCATTGATTTGGAATCCAGGAGCATCAGCTTAAGAAGTAAATAATAATAATAATAATGATAATGATAATGATAATGATAACCATAAACAAAATCAGGGCAGGTATTTTCTAAAATCATTGATTACAAAACCGTCACTGACAAACGATGAACAGCCTACAATACAATGCCCTTTCCACAAGTTCATTTTAAATGAACTTCTTCCATTGCTTCCATTGCAACACATTTTTAAGGTCAATTATGAAATGTGCGTAAACATTTACCTATTTGACACATGACAGCAACATCGTTCTCATGGTTGCACGTAATCGTTTCTCCCCATCCTGGATGACGACAGTCAACAATCGAGTCCTCGGTTCCATTACACTCCAAGTTACTCAGCCAGATAGTACCATTTCCAGGTCTTATGGTGGACTTTGGATACACCTTACTTGCCCCAGGGTATCCGAGCATACGACAAATCACTTTAGCATCGTTTATATCTAGTCCTAGTCTACATATGGTACCCCATACGTTACCATAGCGAACAGCAACACGACCAGAATTGGGTGACTTTCCGTCTTCCAAACGAACTTGTACTGATGGGATTTCTTTTCCTGTCGAATGAAAAAAGTTGATACCAACCCACAACGAAAAAAAATTAAAAACGTTTTTTTTATGCGGCATACCTTCATCTACTTTACATATGACACCAGCATAGTAGTTCCCAGGACATCGAGTGTTCGTCCATCCACGATGAAAACAGTGGCTGACCGATTCTTCATCACCTCTACACACTACACCGCTCATCCATAAGTTTGACATTAATTTTGCGTACTGTCTTATGGGCGCTTCGGCTCCTTTGTAACCAAGCATTCTACAAACCACGTGTGCATCTAGTATATCCCAGGTATCATCACAGACTGGTCTCCAGGTCCCTTTGTATTTCACCTCTACTTGGCCAACATGTTTTCGTTGAGTTTTAACAAGACGAGCTGTAACAGCTAACTCATCTATAAGAACATTTTATAAATAAAGGCATTGTACCATCACGTTATGGCAGCCGTGGCAGGAGGCAGGAACAATTGAATTAATCTGTTCTAATCTGATTTAGATGAGAAAAAGGAAACAAAAGACTATTACTGCGCCTCCTGTCATGGCTGTCATGGTGATGGTGCAAAGCCTCTATTGGATAAAATAAAACTGGATGTAAGTCTATTGAAATAGAAGTAATGCAGAATCAGAACAGTTTAAATTGGTGTCCGGAGAAAGCTACACATTGTCAAATTTGTTGTTCCCTAGCGTTTTAAAATTTGCACTGCACTAAATAGCGCACGCAATGTTCACACCAATGAATGCGCATGCTTATATTCGCAGTTTGCGCTGTAATGTCGTGCGAATACCCTAAATATAATTACCATATATATTTTTTTATATCCTAGCTACGCGGCTCAATTAAATAATCATTACTTCTAATACAAGCTTACCTTGTGTTAGATTATCACATATCACTCCAGCGTCTTCCTTGTGACCGCAATCATGCTGACCCAAACTATTATTCGCACAGTGTTCCAATGACCTCTCGTTGCCGCTACACTGAACATTATCTAATAATATATAACCACTTCCGCTGACGTCAGCTGTTCCTGCCCACAATGCTTTGCTGTAGTTTAGCATACGGCAGACCACGTGAGCATCTTCAAGTCCCCATAAATCGTCACAAATTGTGCCCCAGACTCCAAAATATCGAATCTCTACTCGGCCTTGATTTGGAGTGTTTCCATCCACCAGACGAACAGCCATAATTGGTTTTTGAGCTATGTAATTGTTTTCCATAAAACAAGATACAAACGAATGAATGATTCATTTATGCTTACGCATACCTATACTAAAAAAAGTGTTTCAAAGTTATGAATACTAAAGGAGTAAAGAAAAGCATTTTACCACAATTGTAAATTTTCTCGCGCGCTGATTGGTTAAAAAACGTCGTAAATAAGAGGCCATACCAACAAATGGCGTCATGCAAGATTTCGTGCAGTCTATTTCCTAGAGTTTTGTGAGTTTTGTAGTAAAAAACAAATTTACGATGGTTTAGCGTGGTATGTCCTCTTATTTACCACGATATGACGCCAAACGTTGGTCAAAATTAGTTATGGACCCACTCGGCTTACGCCTCGTGAGTCCATAACATTTTGACCAACTTTTGACGTCATATCGGACCAAATTGGACATACATGTAGTCTCATAACCTATACATATAGTCTTTATGGTGTAAAATATGTTACGCCCTGAAMAATAATAGCGTGAATAACGAATGAACCTAATTTATAAAGTGACTAAATCAAACAGATAGTTTTAAGATAGTGCATTAAGTGAGGGCATGCTCCCAAATAATATATTGCGCTTTTTTTGCTTTTAATGTGATATGGAAATGTGCTAACCTGGATACGAATGACAAACCACTCCAACATCGTTACCATGACTACAAAAACTGGTATTCCCCAGTCCATCATGTGAACACTCGAGTAGGTTCTTCTCATCCCCTTTACAGTTGATGTTTGTCAGCCATATTGGTCCAGTTCCGTGGACAAACTGGTGTCTCACAGAAATGGCCCCAGTGAAGTTCATCATTCGACACGCAACATTGGCATCCATAATGTTCCAACCAGAATTACACACTGTGCCCCACACTCCGTACTGCTGGATCTCAAGGCGTCCTTTATTTGGCGTGGCTCCCCCTACCAGACGCGCCTGGACCTTTTTAGACTCTGCGAAAAAATCAGCTAGCAAGAATCACTTAACAAACTATTTATACAGGCATCAATTATATCAACCCCTAAAAATATAGGCCACAGCTGCAGGTCGAATTGGGATATACCTTTTCTGAATTCATTGCTTTGACTACGAAATTATAGCTCCATTTCAAGGTTGGACATGATAACAGTCAATGTTTGAATTTAAAAACGTCTATGTTTGAGTCCTTGCATATTTGGGGCATTTGGTTTTGACATTTGCTACAGTCAACAATAATTAAAATAAATGTGCATGTTGAACAATACCAATCCTTTCTATTGGTGACAGTTTTAATTAGCTATCTTACAAGCAAAGTTAAACCTGTTTAAATGACTCTGATAATCACCAACAGCACCAAGCTTGGATTGAGAAAGAGAACTAATGCTTTTCAGTAACGTACCTTTAGGCCCAATATATTCTTTGTATTTATTTCTTTTTCATATATTTCCGTTTATTGACCTTTGGTCGCCACCAACCTGAATGGCCTAGCTTTGTGTCCAATAAACGTATCCTTAATAGGAGCTATTCATATATTTAGGTATCATAATGAAACAAAAAACATACCTAGTTTTGGCTTGCAAATAATCCAAGTATCCTTCTTACTGCGACAGGTGTTTATCCTTGACTTGGCGCCGTTACACTGCTCTGTTGAGTTCTCATTCCCATTGCAATGAATTTTGCTCAAAAATTTAAACGAATCTCCACTTTGTTTGTAGATGGTAACAGCCTGACTGTACCCCATCATTCTGCAGACCACGTGAGCATCTTGGATATCAATGGTATCTGCACAGACAGCTCCCCATATTCCATAGTAATAGGCCTCAAGGCGCCCTTTATGAGCGATGTCTCCATCTACCAGTCGGTACGCTATTTCTGGAGTGCCTAATACAATGATAATGATGAAATGCTTGGTGACATATATTTCCATGCTAGATTTCAAATTGGACAAGCTCACTAATATTTCGCGATTTCGTAGGATCGGCAGACAAATACACAAGTACTTTTCGAGTTTTGAATATAGAATTTGTGATCATCCGCTGCTATTTTTTTCTTCTTAAATAAGGCTACTTTTGCTTGCTCACAAAGCGCCTTCGTATATAGATCGCTCCTCTCTGCTTCGTTTCTATTCTCTCTTTTTTTTTTTTTTTGTTTTTTTTTTTTTTGTCTTCCCTGGCTGGTCTAAGTAGGGAAACTCAGTGACAGATGGCAACTAGTTTCGAATCTTTCTCATCACATTTCTATTATTATCACACGGTTGTTGGAAAAATAGATATATTAACTTACAAATTAACAATGTTTCAATTACCTGATTTACACACTACCCCTGCTCGTCTATCATTCCTACAACTTGCCTTGCCCCATTTCAGGTTTTTACACCTTTCAATTGACTTTTCGCCTCCATTACAGCTAACACTGGACAGCCAAACATCACCAGCGCTTTTATAACCCTTAATGGCTACTGCAGCACCTTGAATGTAACCCAACATCAAACAGATCACATTTGCTTCTCGAAGATCCCACTTTGTATCACATACAGACTTCCAAACACCATGGAAACGTATCTCCACTCGGCCGGCGTTAGGGAGGTCACTACCAACCAGGCGTACACTGACATTTGAAGGACCTGTGGTTTAAAAAACATTTGCTAAGCAGGCCGTCATTTTCACTTTGGGCGATGACAGAATTTGTTCAACATTTTTTTTCACAAGTGAGTCAGAAGACCAACTTATTCATAAAGCTTTTAAAATTTGCCAGTTTTTATATTCAATTATCTAGTACCAAAGCTTTTAAGATAAATATTCTGCTAAAATATATATATATATATATATACTGTAAGCCATATATATATATATGTATACTGTAAGCCAAACATTATGAATATACCTAATTTACCATTGCGACTAACATCCTTATGTTTGTCATACTGAAACAATAATTCTAAGTAGTACCAAGGCCATGGAAGATGTCAGTAATCTGTGTAATATCACGACCTGATATTTTAACTTTAAAATAAATAATTAATCATGGTAGTACTGACAATTCGTAATAAAAAAATGTACAAAAATTAAGTTAGAAAAGATTAAAGCAATTGTAAGGCGTTTGRAAGGGAAATGGTTAGAAAGCTAGACTGGCTCCTGAATATTCCTGAATATTGATAGACACGTCACAATTTTACCTCTTGGCAGACACATGACGCCAGAATCTTCCCTGTGTGCGCAGTTGTGAATTCCCCATCCTCTGTGGTGACATTTGTCAATAGACATCTCGGTTCCTTTACACGCTACGTCATCAAGCCAGATTCTTCCAGAACCTGGTCCAAAACTCTTGGTTTTGATAGCTTTCTTGTGACCCAACATCTTGCATATTACGTTAGCGTTGTTTATATTCCATCCGTCTTTGCATATGGTACCCCATTCTTTGTTGTATCGAACCTCGACTCTACCTTCCAATCGGTTACCACCACTGAGTCGAACAGTAGCAATAGGCGCTTTTGATACAACAGCATATAGAAGTTAGTTTTGAAAAGGTAGCTGTCAATCATACTAGACGAATTTCTCACGCGATCCTAGTTGTTCTATTTCCTTCCTTAACAAAGTTGAAGGCTAGTGTGGTTTTGCCAAGCAAATTTATGAAGAAAGAAAGAATACGTTTTTGAGTGTGAATCGTMTTTGGATTTATTTTTTGATAATAGTGAGTGACAGTCAAAAATTGCAATACAAATGAACATTTTATTGCCATCAATGTGGCCGATATTTATGTTATCAGTGGTAAGACTATGAGCTGATCGTTTATATAAGTTTAAAATAGCCAAACATATTGTGATAATAGTTAAACAATAAAACAATCAAATTACCTGCTTGACATACGATCCCAACGTCTTGTTTATGGCTACAGTTCGATGCGTTCTCCCAGCCCGAATGCGCACAGCTTGCTACACTTGCCTCAGTTCCTAAACATCGTACACCACTCAACCAGATTTTTCCTGTTCCACCTCCCATATTCTTGTGTTCCACAGCTCTTGCATAGCCAAGTGCTTTGCAAACGACTTGAGTGTTTTCCATACTCCATGCATCATCGTCACATATTGTACCCCATCCACCATTGTGGAATATATACAGGATACCAGAAGGAAAGGTGGAATTGATTTTGGTGCTGGTGGGCGTCAGCCAGACATCTCCATCTCGGCTTTCTGTAAGACCTTTAGAAACATCAATTTTTTTTTTTTTTTAATTAATTTTTGAATTTGATTTAATTGCAGAAGCCACGTTGTAGGGCATGGACAACGCACAATTTTTGGACAAAAAAGAAAACAATGGAATTAAGGTATACTAAAGTTTTTTAGTCTAATAACTAATAGATAATAATGCCTTTTAAGGCATTAAAAAATGCCTTCACTCAAACAGAAGAAAATAGACATTGCACTATTTCGCATTGTATACTGCGAAACAAATGTAGCCTTTTTTCAGGGATTTAGTTATATCACTCTATTGTTTATTACATAGCAAACATCTCCCACTTATTATTGAATATATAATTATTGTTTAATATAATTTAATAAGGGCATTTTAGGAAAGTTTGTGAATATTGAATATTTCTTACTGAAATGCGGCTTGAGCGCTTTTGATAAATCCTAAGCTAAGAAGTTGAGTGTTTTTCCCCCTCAACGAATTAGAGTAAACAAATCGATCTATTGTAGAATCATTTGTCACTGACTGAAAAGGTAACCTCTCAAGCTAGTGACAATTGGAAAATTATCCGATAACACTTTTCTAGCTTATAAATATAATTTAATCGATCTATTCTAATAACATAAATATCGTATAACAGTGATCTATAAGTGAAAGTAAAGAGCACTTTAAAAACATTATTCCCTCCTTTTTTCTACTTTTGCCTTTATGATGCAAATAGGGTGCGTGCGAACAGATTTGCCAAAAAAAACAAGATTACCGAGGTTGCATTCAACGTTTGGCATCCTTTCGTGTATCTAACATTTTTTTTCAATATACTGCTTCTAAAAAGCCCATTGTTCTCAAGCAAAGTAACCATCAAGCAATGTCCAATAAAAATGTCAAACAATCATGTCCAAATACTTAATAAGGCTTAAAATCCATCAGTTCATGTTAAAGGTTCTTGATCAACAAAATCTGTATGGCGTAAAAGTATACAGACTCACCTAGTTGCAACAGCAAGATCAATACAGCAACCACAAAAATATTTTTGTTTATATTTTCCATCATCGTTGAAGGTAACAGGTCTCTCTTCTATCCCGGCGCCACAGGCAAGTCTTCCTGATTCCAGTGCAATACAGATTACTGGTACATGAACCCTATAGCCTAGACAATGAGCCTGACGTATGCTTCATTAATAAAACATAATGCTTCCAAAACACAAATGGCTTTACTTTTTAAGGACGAAAAACAGGCAGAACTCTATTTAAGTCAACAAATGATGAAACGTCGAGGCCTTAAAACAGCAATGACGGTTAACTTAAAACATTTCGATCAGCTATTTACGTTTAAAATGTGTGGGTATTTCAACCGCAGTCAAAATCAGCCCACAGACGATTGAATGCGGTTTGCAGGACAATACATTGACTGTGCGGTCACAAGTAGTCGATGATAAGCTTTTTCTTGCTTTCTCTAAACCTGACATATGGATCGGGCTAAATCTGCAAATGTCTGAAGACATACGCCATAATGTCTTATAATTCGTTTAGGTGAAAACCATTACTCGAACCACTAAGTAACAACTTCAAAAGCTCAAAATTTGGAGACATTTTTTTTCCTTCCAGAAGATAACCCATAAATGAAAGAATAAATGGAGTTGCTCCCTCCTTTTTGTATTTTGTATTTTTTCTTTTTGTTGCTGTTGTTGTTGTTATTGCATCGTTTTGTTTTGTTGTTTGTTTTCACTGCTATATAGAAAGCTTCAGTCTTTAGTTTTTAAGGAAAACAATTGAACTTACCTCAGAGAACCCTGGAGAAATACTATTAGCCAGTGCTTAAACAAAAACAAACAAACAAACAAACAAACAGGTTTCAATATTGTCTTCGTTAAAATCCCCCCCTCTCAAAGAAAATAAAAATATTGCCAAATAAGATATGTGGTAAGCAAGCTTTACGATGTAGTAATACTCATATTTTTTTGGCAGACAATGTACTTTTAAATAAACACCCAACAATTAGACTTACCGATAAACTTTCTTTAACCCGCAAGGCACGTCCGTTACGACTTTTAAACAAAAGTAACAAAATCCTCTGTATCATTATTACACTCCATGCAGGCTACTCAGGCAGATAGTACCATTCCCAGGTTTATAAGATGCACTTTTGGTACACATTTGCACCGGCGAGGCCCGAGGCCCAGCATGTGATAGATTGTCTTACTAACGATCTACAAAATACCTGATTAACTGGGTGCAATAATTAAAGTCATGAAAATAAGTAAAATAAACTTCGAAGACACGACTTCGCTTTTGGTTTCTTTTTTAGAATAAAACTCACATGATTGTGATAAATGTCACGGTAAGGAAGCGCGATGTCGTTACAGTAACGGTATCGTGTCTGTGCAATTTTATTAGCTGAAAAATTATCCTCACTCACTGTGATTGGTTCAGGAAATATCGTAATGCATAACGTGACGGTGTCGCCTGTGCCGTGCTGTTTCACATGTCAAATCTTTTAGTCATTAGAAGCAAATAATTTAATAATATCTTTATTTTCAAATCTTTAGAAAATATTTAAAAATCACTTTAGAAGCATTAGTTAGTTTCTATTGATGGTTTTCACGGCGGCCATGTTGGAGGAACTTAACAAAAGAATTGTCAATGAATTCTTTTGCTATATCCTCCAACATGGCCGCCGTGTCTTTTGTTATTTAATTCTCTTGGGAATCAGGTCGAAACCATCAATATGTTTACGTTTTTAAATACTAATTCAACATGTCATGTATATAATCTAATATTTAGATCCAATAATAGAATATATGATAAAGTGATGTATCTATTAATGTATTACTTTATTACAAGTTATCATTGTTTCCATTCACTCATTTTGTGATTACTTACTCATTTTTATCACATTTTAACAAATTTTAAAATTATGAGCAAACAAACTTGATTCTATTGTATTGTATTATCTTCGATAAGTTTTCGACGGCTTTATTGTGCTGTGGGCGTATTATTGAACAGAATAAACATCCTTTATCCCTAAAAAAAGCAGATTTCACAATGAGCAAAAAGCTTCGAAACTGAAGTCAGGCACTTGTCTTAGTACTGCATAAAATATGTCAATATATGAAAAAAATAGGGATTAGAAAAGAAAGACATTATTAACGGTCATGATACACGACTAACAATATTTTTATTGAAATTCATGTCTGCACATTTTTTTTCCTTACCTTTCTTTGATAACTATTTACATGCGCGCATCAGGTAATTGGTCATCGTTGCCAGGTTTTTCATTGGGTGGGTCTCTAAATCCTTTCATTTCTACTGCTAAAAGATATAAATACCAAGAAAAATACGAGGATAAATGACTATATTCGTTGCAATGCAAAGCGGACTAGAGCTTCAAACTCGTCTTATAGTTTTGATATTGAATACGCAAATTAACAAATATTGTAAAAAAATATCATATCTGTTAAAATATATAATCTAAGAATAATTTGTAAAACTAAGGATGAATACGGAATAGATGAAGCTATTTAAATTAATAAAACAAAAACAACAAGCAAGCATGTAATGAAGGAAAATCAGCTATATATATRTAACTTCTTTTCTCCTAATTTCGAACAAGCCTTATTTGCATTAATGGTGCCTTTTTTGAAACATTATATAAAGTTTTATATCTGTAAAGACAACTGTTTTGTTTTCAACTTGCCTTTCGATGTCGTAATTCTCTCTGCTTTTATACGTTTTAAGAAATACCAAACGACAATTAAAATAACAGCAACTAGAGTTAATATGACCATGGACAAGGCAATAACAATAGCCTCATTACTACATCCAGGAACTCTTGCCTTCCCTAAGAAAAATACAAAAGTTAATTTAGAAGCTTTCTTCATTATGATCAGGTGGTTATAAAGATGGGATATAGTTATCAATGAGAGATTGCTAAAGGGAGACGATATATATAAAGGGACAAAATAAAAGCTTACAGAGATATGAAATGAGAAAGATAATGGGCGTCGTCATTTTTTACTCCTAAAACCAATTCCGGAGTTTGGTATTTTATATAGCAGGTGTTTTTTAACTGGGATATAATTTTTTTCATGTCCTTTCAAAAAATGAAAGTCGATCTTGAAATGAAGAGTAAATGAAGAGAGGGAGGTATTTAGTCACTTTTTAAAAAAACCTGAAACTCTATCGACAATTACTTTTTTATGATCTAGTCGACGATTTTCGAAGTTGAATAACTTACTAACCTTCTATAGATGGTACTTTATATATTGATCTCGTAATAAAGGTAATAAAAGCMCTCTCCCCATAAAACTTTCTCTATAAAACAAAAATGAAATAGATGATCATGAATTTCAAAAATTCATGAATGATTAATGTATTTTAGGTCTATCAGGTCCTTCAAATTCATCACGCGCATGGATCTTTATACCTGATAATAGTTTAACATGGCTATTTTTATATAAATATTTTGAAATCTTTATAAAGGACCAAAAGAGTACAAGAGCATGTCACGAATAAGGACCCTAACTGAAGCCGTTCAATAAGCTTGCAGATCGTGTTTTATCAGGTCTAAATCCTGATAAAACACTCCTGCTCGTTTATTAATCATTACATAAATACTGCATAAATACTGCCAACACAATCTAGAACTAATCAGTTTTGTCATGTTTTAGAGTTTTAGTTAAATTTTATTTTATTTTATTTCATTTTATTTTTTTGGCACGCTATGCATGTCTAAAAGAAACGAACACAAACATATGCTAATCAATTCCTTTTTTCGTTTCCGTTATTTTCGGTCAAGCATTTTATCGGACTTGACTTTGCATCGCATAAATGTGTATTTTGACCAGCGATTTCGTCTCTCACTTGATGCATTAATAGTTTTGTTATATTCCGCCTAACAAAAAGTGATAGAACGTCGTCAGCATAATTAATTTATTACATGGTGCATTAAGAGGCTGTTTCTATCTATAGTCAAAGAGATTTGACAATGCTAATATCGACTTCCGACAAACATTAATTGATGTATTATGAAGATATATTATGATCATCATGATCATTGCTCACCCCATCCATTGCCACAGTAACGATCCTTACGTGTACTCTATACATTGATCCGGCTTCTAACGGTGCGTTATAGTAACCATGGTAATACTGACCATCTCCAATCGTTAAGCTGGAGATAGTAGCTAAGATCTCTGCGGTTATGTAACTATGACTATCCATTTGTGTTGCCATAGTAAAGTTGATTTCATTAAATCCGAAATGCTTCATTTCTTTGTCTCGTGAAGACTGCAGCCATTTTTCATTTTCTATTTTTTCCAAAGCAATTTGATATACACTAGTAAGAAAGGCAAGAAAGACTAACTTTAATAGAATTGCAATTAAAACATGAGGTAGCCGCTGTCCAGCCAATTCAGTCTATTACCTGTTTAGCTGGAAGTCTCCTCTCTGTGAGTCGTTTAACACTATTGTAACCGTTGAAATGGTGATGGCGTGGGTTCCATTGATGAAGAAATGTGGTGGATCCAAGACTTCTTTCCTCCTCCCTTATAAATTTTGTGAACAAAAGGATAATAGACACCTTAATTTCTCAAAAAGCAAAAACACAACAAATAACAATTTAAAAAAAATACCTAATTTGCACGCAACAGTAGCGTCATTGTCATGGTTACACGTTGTTTGTCCCCACCCTGGATGGCGACAGTCAAAAATCGAGTCCTCGGTTCCATTACACCCCAAGTTACTCAGCCAGATAGTACCGTTTCCAGGTCTTATGGTGGACTTTGGATAAACCTTTCTTGCCCCAGGGTATCCGAGCATACGACAAATCACTTTAGCATCGTTGATGTCCAGTCCCTTTTTGCATATGGTACCCCATACGTTACCATATCGAACAGCAACACGACCAGTATTAGGTGACTTTCCGTCTTCCAAACGAACTTGTAATGTTGGAAAATCTATGAGATTTTTTTGTAGACTTCTCATTAGTTCACAAAGTATGTAAAACTGCTACTGAAAAAGATATTTTATTTTACCAACCTTTAGATGTTCCACACATAACTCCAGCGTGAGCGTTCCCTGGGCACGCGGTGTTTGTCCATCCACGATGTGAGCATTCACTAATCGATTTTTCATCACCATTACATTGTACGCCAGTCATCCAAAGTCCTTCTTGTCCAACATTGAATCTTTTAATTGCTGCAAGAGCTCCTTTGTATCCGAGCATTCTACAGACCACTTGAGCGTCTGATATATCCCAGGTATCATCACAGACTGGTATCCAGGTCCCGTTGTTTTTTATCTCTACTTTACCGTAATGTTTGTGAGCTCCAATAATACGAGGTTCATTTAGAGGACGTTCTTCAGTGGAATATCCTGGGCAAAAGAGGGAAGCAAAAGTCCTCATTTAGCAACTCTCTAAAAATTTAAGCTACCTGACCAAAAAAAAAAAGAAAGGAGTGCAATATCTTATTCCATTTCTAAGATATTACTATCAGTTTTCACTTTCTATAACCTATGAACTTTTGTCTTTCATTATGTTTCAAATGTTTCGAAAATCCATGTTACCTAAGAGATCTAAACACGTCACTTAACTGATATGTAATACAAATACGTACTTCGCTGGCATACCACCGCAGCATCGTTGTCATGACTACATGTTGTTTGTCCCCATCCGGGATGGTGGCAATCAGTGATGGACCTTTCTGTACCGTTACACTCCAGGTTCATCAACCAGATAGTACCCTTCCCAGGTTTAGAGGTGTACTGACTCACTCCTCGTGCGTAGCCAAGCATACGACAAATCACTTTAGCATCGTTGATGTCTAATCCCCTGTTACATATGGTACCCCATACGTTACCATAACGAACAGCAACACGACCTGAGTTGGGTGAACTTCCTTCCTCTAAGCGGACTTCTACTTGCGGAGGTTCTGTATATTATGTAGTATGTTAATTAATTATTTAAATAACAAATAAAAACGCACCATAATTTTGATGTATAAATTCTAATTCCTAACCTTGTGTTGTTTGACACATAACCCCAGCATGCAATCGACGTCCTACACATCCCGTGTTCGTCCATCCACGATGATAACATTCACTAATTGATAATTCTTCGCTACTGCATTCCACACCACCCATCCACAGTCCAATCTTCCCTGCACCAAACCTCTTGATCGCCGCTAGTGCTCCATTGTAACCAAGCATTCTACAGACCACGTGAGCGTCTGATACATCCCAGGTATCATCACAAACTTGTCTCCATGACTCGTTGTATCGGACCTCTACTCGTCCATAGTGCCTTTGCCCTCCAACTAAACGAACAGTTACATCTTTACATGTGTGAAAACATTAAAAAAATTATTACGAGAAGTCTAGATTGTACCAATACCTAGACAATTAAACAAACAAAAAGTATCAGACGAATGCGTGAAAACGTCCTTCTTTGTTTTTATTTTTATTTATTTATTTCGCTATATTTATTTATAAATTTACAATATAAGTTTATACACAAATTATAAAAATGGCAACGGGGCCTCATGAAAGCATCAGGCTTATAATAGTGCCCTAGTGACTTCAACAAGACCTTAATGTATAGCTTTTTATGTCGTTATTAGAAAGTCAGGATTGGAAAAGCCTCATCCTCAAACAACTTCCTGTCAAATTTGTTTCATAAAGCTGCGACAATACTTGTAATGACGAATTAAAATGTTGCACAACAGTGTTACGTTGCGAGTAGCAAACTAAATGTTTCTAAATCAGCACTCGGCGGCAACTGTAACTATTTTGCTCTGCAACTTTCAACTCAACAGTGAGTTGCATATAAGTGGTAAATTGCATAATTTTGCCTTTATACGATCACACGTAAAGAGCTAAAGAAAGATATGTAATCCAAGTTATCGATAAACACTTTGTTAACATTTCTTATTTCATGCTGTCCTATATTGCTCCATTACCTTCTCTGCGTGACTGACAAATAGCTCCTGCATCATTCCAATGCTTGCAGCTCGCCATACCCCACCCATAGTGACGACATTTTTCGATGTTTGTTTCACTTCCACGGCACCTCAGGTACGCCATTAATGCAGGTCCACTCCCTTTAACCAAAGCAGTTCCTGCCCATGATGCTTTGCTGTAGTTCAACATACGGCACACCACGTGAGCATCTGATAGTCCCCATCCATATTTACAAACTGTGCCCCAGACTCCATAGTAACGCACCTCCACTCGGCCTTGATTAGGTGTAGGTCCACCCACCAGACGAACAGCTACGTCTGGTCCTTGAACTGAGACATGAATAACAGAAAGTAAGAAAATGTTTTTGAAATCTTTCACAGTTATCGAGATCTATTGTAACATGGTTGTGACGAGTATAATACTATGTGATTTTATGCACAAACTTGAGGTCAAAATATTGAAATCACATGAATATTCTCAATTCACCTCCAGGTCTATCGCATATAACCCCAGCATCGTAGTCATGACTACACCACGGTCTGCCCCATCCGTTATGTTTACACTGTTCCAGAGAACTCTCCCAGCCTCTGCAATGCATGTATTCTAACCACACTTTTCCTTGTCCTCCTCCGAACTTTTTAATGCCAGCTATTGCTTTTCGGTAGCCTAACATACGACAGACGACATAAGCATCGTTGATGTCCCAGCTCCATCCTCCACAGACTGTACCCCAAGTGTTATTGAACTTGACTTCTACTCGACCAGAATAAGGTGCCACACCTCCAACCAGACGTACTTGTACTTTACCTATATAAAAAGAGATGCATAATTAAGTCAAAATTTGTGTATTGGGTCTCAAATATTTCTTAAAATAGTTGCTTTCTTAGTCGAGCATTGAACAGTAGCGTCATATCTCTCCCGTGGATTTCGAAATTCGTGAAATTTGCCTCTACGCTGGGCAGACCCTGGCTGCGCTGTAGTGCTGCTGCTGTACCTTTATATAGAGTATCGATGTTGCAAAATGTTACCTGATCATAAAAAACAAACATTTCTAACCTGGATAGGAATGGCAAATCACTCCAGCGTCGTGTTCATGACTACACGAGCTCGTCTGCCCCAGTCCATCGTGAGAACAGTTCAAAATGTCCAACTCAAGACCCACGCATTCTATTTTTGTCAACCATATAGGACCAGATCCTTGATTAAAATTTTTAACTGCTCTAACTGCCCCTTTGTATTTCAGCATACGACACACTACATCCGCATCAAGCATGTCCCAACCAGAATTGCAGACTGTGCCCCAGACCCCCTGTACGAGGATTTCGACGCGTCCTTCGTTTGGAGTCCTGCCATCTGCCAGACGAATATGATTGCTCGACGTATAAACTATAGAGCAGAAAAAAATAATTGTATACACGTGATCTCCACTTCCTAACTAAAGATGTTGTATCAAGATGAAGACATACACACGAATAGCGGTTCGTTTACACTGGAAATGAATGTGTTTAACAGACTGAACTACTCCAGGTAAAGTGTCTTTGTTTCCATTATAGTATCTGACATTCACAACACGCTGTTTTGCTTGGTGGCTACGACTTCAGACAAGCTGGACAAACGCTTACTATTATTTTAATAAGCAAGAGCTTAATTAAAATGATTTATATTTTTCTGGGCAACCTTTTTTGAAGCAATTGTACGGCTATAGTCTTGTTTTATGATCAAATTAAACATTCTTAGTTCTCTATTCTTTTTATTTGTCAGTACTAAAGTCTACCTAAGGATAACGTTTACTTGAAGGCGATGATGGTAAATACGTCCATTGTTTTGTTCCAGCTGTTGATGTTATTGTATAAATACTATAATCATCATCTCTTACAGTTCATCTTCTACGGAAAACCTAAACTCCTCCTCGTGTGTAACATGGTTTTATCTATTCAAAATTAAGGAAAATCTAGCTATCTACTGCAACCACTATAAACATATAGCATTACGTAAAACATAAACTATTTCATGTTTATTGTATGCTTTTCGTGAGAGTAACAGATTTGTGGCAACTTCATGATGTAATGTGTCGCAAAAAAATATATCGGTGTTTGTTTATATTTGGGGGAGGAACGTGGTTTCTAGAAAGTCACGCACCAAAGGTACTACAGCAAAAAGCAGAAACAAATTTTGACTTTTAAAACCACTCGTAATCTTTAACTATAAGCATTAGTCATGCATTCACTTAAACGAATAAAGTAAATATCTCAAATATTTGAACATAAAAACTGCTTATTCAACGATAAAAGTGATATAAAAACGACCACTTACCAGGCTGTGATAACAAGCGACACAAGAAAAACACCAAGAGACCAGTGGCCATGTTTTCCATGATCAAAGACTCTTGCAATGAGCTTCAAGATAAATCGATGAAGAACCTTATATGCTTTCAACAGCAACAAACAACAAAGCGAGCAGAGATATATTTATATGCGTTTAGCGCCTTTCTTTCCTGTCAAAAAATTCAGCATCGAGTTGGCGTTTTTTTTAAGATGTTCTCAAATTTCCCATTAAAGTGACTACTGGCCATAGCATTAGTAATTATATTAATGAAAGAGAAAGGTTGAGTAAAAGGAAAGTACATTGTCTAACCTTGAAGAGCTTTGCTTGGACTTGTATACTTGATCCTGCGGTTACATAGTGCGTAGTCAATATTCTCTTGGTAAATCCACCCATAGTTAATAGCTATTAACTATGATCCACCGTGTTTTTCAGTGGGACTTGCGGTATTATTAGTTTTCTGAGTTCATTAAAACAATCATTTTGTTTAAATTTCCCTTTTGTTAATGTCAGTCATGGTCGATAGCCATTTACATATGTGTTAACTTTTACCTTTTCAGATTGTGGAGTGAATTTTGTCTGACATAAGGTCTACTACGACGATGACCACCATTTGCATATTATCAAATTGACTTTTTGACCATTTAAAAATATCTCTTGAGGTCGGCTTTTCGCAAATAATTTTCCCTTTATTTATACCAGGGTTTTACTAAATACAAGTATAAATAATTAAGAAAATAGGAGTATACCGAAATCAGGTAGCCATTTGCTTATGAATATATTATTATTAAATATTTTTATTGGTTTAAACAATAATCAGATGCTATAGATTTGGTCATTAACAAAAATATCAACTACAAGACTAACCAAACATAGCTTACTGACTCAATTGTCTTTGTTCCTTTGGGAACATTAGCTCTTCATTATTGTACTACAATCGTCCTTGTTTGTGTGATTTTTTCTTGTTTGTTTGTTTGCGTGAGGGTAGCGCTTAATAGCCGGTGGTTAAACACCGCTGTCCCTCGGTCCATGATCGAATTGGAATTTAGAAGTTAATCTTTGTGGAGATAGGAAAACCGGAGATCCCGGAGAAATTTCGAAGCACAGATTTACTACTACCATCACCATTTGTACTTTTGTTTTATGCCTTTTATTAGTAAAAAGTATTATTTTAAAAGTATTATTATTAACTTAAACTTAAACTTAATAAGAAGGAAACTTAAAGACCAGGAAAAAAATGGAACTCTACTGATGTTTCAAACGTTAGTTCCCCGTAAGAGTAAATGAAAAAAAAAAAAGACAGAAAAAGATTGAGTAGAAAAAGATTGAGTTGTATAATGCAAGGAAATAGGCGATTCGGTGTTTCTTGTTTACATGATCCTGCTAACGTACTTATACTGCTCAAAGCAGAAAGACATTTTTTTCATCCCATGCATCTTGAACAAATGACAAATCATATGTAAACACACAATACGCTTTGCGATTTTACTAATGAATTATGTATTTAAAATTTTTATTAATGAATGTTGAATTGAAATTGTTCCTGTGGCTATTTGAAAAGGTTGGTGCATGCCTGTTGCCTGTTGCCTGTTGCCTGTTGCCTGTTGCCTGTTGCCTGTTTGCTGTTGTTGCTGCTGTTGCTGCTGCTGTTGTTGCTGCTGCTGTTTTTTGCTGTTGTGTTGTTGTTGCTGCTGTTGTCGTTGTTGCTGTTGTTGTTGCTGTTGTTGTTGCTGTTGTTGTTGCTGTTGTTGTTGCTGCTGTTGTTGTTGCTGCTGTTGTTGCTGCTGCTGTTGCTGCTAAATTGTTGTTGTTGCTGCTGTCATTGTTGCTGTTGTTGTTACTGCCTACTATTGTTGCTACTGTTGTTGTTGTTGCTGTTGTTGCTACTGTTGCTGCTGTTGTTGTTGTTGCTGCTATTATTGCTGCTGTCATTGCTGCTGAATTGTAGTTGCTGCTGTTGTTTTTGCTGCTGTTGCTAGTGCTCTTGTTGTTGCTTTTGTTGTTGCTCTTGATGTTGCTATTGTTGTTGTTTTTGTTGGTGTTGCTGCTGCTGCTGTTCTTCTTGCTAATATATAAAGTATCTTTTAGTAGTTATTCAAGAAGTCTTTGTTTTACCTCTGCTCATGAGCCCATCCAGTAATCGTCTCCAGGACAGTCTTCACTGTATTAACAACACAAAGACCACTCACTGCATGAGACTCAAACTTTGTTTGAATTGCTGACTTGGATATACACTCCTAGAACATCAAACAAACAAAGCATATCAAGTAATAATTCATATATATATATACAACATGATTACAAGTTATTGTAAATTTTGAGCCACCAATARGGGTTTATATTGGTAGCTAGTTGGAAGAAAAAAGGCACTTTTTTCCAATGCCATTAATATGAACCCATATTGGCAGCTCAAAATCACAATAMGTTTTGTATCGTGATTCTATTGTGAGGTATTTCAAAGCYGACAATATGGGTTTATATTGGTTGCTAGTTAGAAGAAAAAAGGGATATATTTTCTTCCAATGCCATTAGCGACTCATAATTACAATAAGTTTCCTATCATAATATTATCCTATCTCAAGGCAATTCTGAACAGACAATACGGGTTTATATTGGCAGCTCTCTCCCCCCGATTAAACTTATTGAAGAATTGGGATACTGTATTATATTACTCATCAAATGTATAGGAGTACACATATAAATTCATTAATGATAAAAAGGTAAATTATACACTGAAAAGATGAAAAAACTGACGTTTCGGACACTAGTCCTTCATCTTTTACTCCAACGAAGGATTAGCGTCGGAAATGTCAGTACGGTGTAAAATTTACCTTTTTATCATTCCTGTTTCATTAGAAACACTGATGCAGCTCACACTTGTTTTTAGCTAGTTATCTCTTCTATATAAATTCATTATAAATTTAAGGCTCTTAGCTTTGGAAAATTGACCTACCTCAAACTTGTGTTCAAAATGTTCAAACTCTAATTTCCTTCCATGAAAACCATCTACATGTATTGCACCTCCTTGAAATATACAAGAATAGTAGAGAAGTATTCAATATTAAACAAAGGGTAATCAAAGTATATGTATACATGACGACTATGTGTCAAATGGCTCAAGGGGCAGATGTAAGGGAGGGGCACAGGGGGAGCGCACCCCCTTTCCCCCAGGTGAAATATTGTTAGGGGGAAAGATGAATTTGAATCAGAAAAAAAAATTTGCAAAGCATTTTGGAAGTGGTAGTAAAATGATGCCATCCTGCAAATGACCTATTACATGTACAGCTGGGTGTTGACACATGCAATATACCTTCTTCAGGCATTCCACGGTGTTTCTGTAATCTTGACATTAGAGCCTTGACAAAGATTAAAATAATCCATTTTAGTGTATTAATTAAACAACACAGGAATCCCAATTTTAAAGATTTTCTAATTAAGAAGAGAGTCCTGTTGAATAGACTTTTTGAGCTACATGTAGGACTGGAGTAATGTTTTCCCATTTCAGACCACATCATTCTCTTAAGAATGTTTCCTGTTTGAGTTACATATAGACCCCTTACATGTTCAGACGTTAAAGCAACTCAATTTGGAGGACAAAACAAAAGAATTTCGATCTCCTGAGATTTGGAAACCTATGAAACTCCAAATGTTTCAAATACAATTGCTGTATTCTATTGGGGTTTCAAAATCCTCGTGGAATTTGAAACCACAATAGAATACAGTGACAAGTATTTGACATGACATCTTAATATACTCTTTTTGTTATGTCACAGGTAGCCCAAGCTTGGTTTCTGTGGTGTCCTGTTATAAGGAAATGTATGGAGATTCATCAAAAATTTCAANTGTTGCCTGTTGCCTGTTGCCTGTTGCCTGTTGCCTGTTGCCTGTTGCCTGTTCTGTTGCCTAATTTTAGACTTGAATATCCGAAAAACGTCGAGATTTAGGAATGAAAAAATGTTTTAGTAATACTTCTGATCTGGAAAACTTTAGAAAGCCTCTTCTCATACTCATTAATAATTGATGAGTAAACCAGATTTTTGGGTCACATGATGTTACTTGACAACTGGTAAAGTCCTGTGAAAGGACTGTGCATTCAGTCTAGAGTAACTGGAACAAAACTAATTCAGTCCTAATTCAAACTAATTCAGTCCCAGTTATTCCAAGTCGAGTAATTAATGAGCATGAGAAGTCATTTCAAAGCCTCCAATATTGGACTGGATGGGATTTCAAGTCCGCGTTAAGTCCAATTGCCATTGGAATTAATTGCTTAGACTTGAAATCCCGTCCATTCCTCATTGTCGGCTTTGAAATATTACGTAACAACCTCTCCAGTTGTTTCGTCTTAGAATCACTTGTCGGTCGACCAATCACAGCTCGAGAAACTCTATATTCAAGTCTAAAATTGATAGTATATGTAAATAGTGACAGTACACAAGAAATAATGCCTTGGGGGAAAAAAGTGCACACAATTAAATAGGTTTTGGAAAATTTCATGTTGTTGTGGCCTTTCGCTGATTGTATACCGTCGCCCATAATGCAGTTTGGGCTTCGTTAAGACATGCAGCATGCAACAAAATCTTCAACAACTATTTCTGAAAAAGCTTTATAAAAATAGTTCATTTCAATAATATGGATCAACAACAAAATGTGATCCCTTTGATACGATAAAAAAGGTATATATGAGTTTGCTTTAGAAAGGATTACTTTCAACTTTTAATATCAGTTACTGGCTAAGTCATTTTTGTTTAAGAACTGACAAAGGTCGTCACGTCACATCACTGCACGTTGTATGGTAGCGTCCCCTATTACCTTCTAACTTTCGAATATATCTGTGCTCCCGTCTTCTGTCGGTCAAACAAACAATAATAATTAATAATCAATAATTAATAAAATTATCTGGTTTATTTTTTATTTTTTGTATTTCCAGGCTTTTTCAAAATATTATAAATAAATGCTTTTCGTTGTCATAACGAATAAATAACTTGAAGGTATCGAAATGGATATTTTAGCCTCCAAACCTTAGCTCGAGGGTTTGCAGTATGATGATAGGCTCTTGTGTTAACGTACTGCTGGGTTTCAGGGTCATCGTCTGGAAGGACAGGAGGAACTTGGTAATGTTCCTCAGGACTTTCAGCATCTGCATGCGTAGGCCTGTTTGTCTCTAACCCTTTAAAAAATATTAAAACAGCCAATTTAAACAGTCTGCGGCAAATACATGTATACTTTCGACACAGAAACATAATGGCGACTAACATCGGCGATACTCATTCATGTCTAATATTAGACTGAGCGCAAACTCCTTGAATATAAATGTCCTTATTTTACAACATTTAATGGTTTGTACATGACCTCATGATCATAGCCGCCATTTTCAAAAAAAAACTATTTTGTTTTATATCCCTTTTGGTATACATGACTTTAATTTTTTTAAATAAAGGAATTTGTTATATATCCCAACAAGTCTTGACCAAGTCTTTTTTATTATTATTTCACGCATTTCTGAATAACTATTACGATTGGATACATGGCATTTGCCTGGATGACATCATATTATGACCTGCTTTTTAAATACATTTGTAGTTTTTTGTTCTTGTTATTCTTGCTTGTTTGTTTGTTTGTTTGTAAATAAATAAAGACCCGTTTTGCCTTTTTAAACACTATCTTTGTCGTTGAGGGCCGACCAATTTTTGATATTTTTAATTTGGACAGAGGCGGACGCCAATAACAAACATAGGCGCGCTATCAGTAATGTTAGCAAGGTCGACATAAGGTAATTACCTTCTAAATGCAATTGCTGGTTTTTGTCCCCCTGGGGTTGATTCCTGATCTTTAGGAAATACCAAACAATACCAGCAACAATGACACCAATCAAAATGACAATCAACAAGGACAATCCTATTGCTGTACCCCTATCAGATGATGATGCCTTCTCTGCTCGCCCTGGAGTATCAATGGATTGGCACAAAAACATCATTTCAATATTAAAAATAATAATTCTAATTATAAAATGATAATAATTTAATATTTATAATGCGCATATTTCATGAGGATATGTTTATATGCGCAGAAATTAACTAAGTCATTAAATTAAATAAATTGCATAAATAGAAATTAGTATATGTAATAGGACTCCATACTGTCCTTAATTGGTAGTCAGAGGAATTTTTCGAGTCTAATTATTTCTTGATTGGGGAGCATGAAATCCCATTACCTATTAATTATGTAGCTGCGTAAATAATCCCATATCAACAAGACCTGTCCAATTAAGAAAATAATTGGACAGTTACCTATATGGGATTAATGAGAAGCTGTATAATTACAATGATAAAATAAGACTTGACGGAGTAAAATATCACCATTGTGCAATCAGGGACATGTCGATGCTGATGGCACATGTAATTCCGGGTTGTAATATACTTACAAACCGTTATATTCCTTCAGAGTTGAGCCGACATTTTTTTGTCGATCAAAATTAATAAGCTACAAATTGGATCAACGAATCCCTGAAACGTTTGAAAATATTTTAGTCGAGTTAGAAACTCTGACGGTTTACCCTTCATCAGACTGTGTACCAAAAACTAGAAAAAGATTTGTTTTCATGTCGTGGCCGCGATGTTGCGGTGTTTTATCGTTTCGTTTCCTTTGTTTATACCAGCAACATGGCCGCCACAATTTCACTCTCTATGAAATGCTTGCAATTGAATCAATAAACTCAGCACCATTAAGGCATGGCTCTTTTGAGGAAATGATGGGAAATCAGTTATTTATTCATATCTTTGACAGTTTA